AGAACTGTTGGCCCAAGTGTTTGGTTTGGAGCGGAACCACCAGTACACATACGGACGGACAGTGGTGCTGTGGACAGACCATAAGCCTCTGGTATCCGTAAACCATTAGCAATAGCGCCCAAGCGACTACAGCGTTTGCTCATCCGACTGAAACAGTACGATGTGGACATACGCTATAAGCCAGGCAAGGAAATGTATCGTGCGTATCTAAAGAACACTGAACGTTCACCAGTAGAGGCAGAGACAGAAAGCATCCACAAGATGGACGATCTGTCCATCTCGACAAAAACCCAGGAACTGATCGTGCGTGTTACAGAAGAAGACGCGAGCCTTCAAACAGTCAAAGGCTTCATCGCAACAGGCTGGCCCGACAGCAAAGGCTAGCTGCCAGCCGAGGCACGCCCCTTCTTCAGCATCCGCGAGGAACTGACATACCAAGATGGAGTTATATTCTGCGGTACACGCTGTGTCATCCCAAAGGCAGCAAGACCACGAGTGCACGAGCGTCTACAAAGCGCACATACAGGAGTGCAAAGCACACTAAGAAGAGCACAAGATCTTGTCTATTGGCCGGGAATGACTCATGACTTAACAGACTATATCTCAGCCTCTGAAACTTACAACAAATACCAACCACAGCAGCAGAGCGAATCCCTGATCTCACATAAAACACCAGATCGATCCTGGCAGAAGATTGGCATAGACTTATGCACTGTTGACAACATGGACTACCTGTGCAGTGTTGACTACTTCTCTGAATATTTCGAAGTTGACAGTCTGCCCCACAGCAAAGACGCAAAGGCTATCATTAAAAGACTGAAATGCCACTTTGCTGCACATGGCATACCGGACACAGTATACTCCGATAATGGATCACCATTCAGCTCAAAGGAGTTCGTGGACATCGCCAATGAGTACGAGTTCACCCATGTCACCAGCTCTCCACAGTATCCACAGAGTAATGGCAAAGTTGAGAGCACGGTAAAAATTGCAAAGAGGCTCATTCGCAAAACCAAGGATAGTCATGGGGATATTCACCTCGCTCTGTTAGCCTGGAGGAACACTCCAACAGAAGGCCTAAACAGCTCCCCTGCTCAGCGTTTCTATGGACGCCGTATGAAGACCAATCTGCCTACAAAAGCACAACTGCTGGTGCCATCACAACAACCCCAACAGGCCATCCTTGCCCAAAGGAGCATCAAGCAGGCCAAGCAGAAACGGTAGCCCTACCCCATCTCCAGCCTGGAGACACAGTACGCATACTTCCCAAAGCCAATTCCAAAGTTTGGGAAAAAGCACAAGTACAGGAGCAAGTCAATATTCGTTCGTACAAAGTGATCACAGAGGATGGTCAGGAATTTCGCCATAATCGGAAGCACCTCAGACGCACCGCAGAAAGATACGTCCCGCCCTGCAAGTTGCAGTTTCCATCAGAAGGCCCAGCTTCAGACAATCAGAGCAGCCGGGCTGACCAAACAAACACACACACAGAGCAACAAAATCCACAACGCAGCACATGTGAACGGAAACCACCAAGCTATCTAAAGGACTATGTCACATGAATATTGGACAAGGTGCACCATCAGGAACGGACTTTATGGACTTTATCTAACTACATACCTGTATTGCAAGTTGAAGTACCAAAAAAAAAATGGAGAAAAACAAAAACAAATTAAGGCACACCTCACCATGTAAAAAGGATATACTGGAAAGTTTAAAAAACAAAACAACACAAAACAAAATAGGCTAGTGCCTTAGGAGCATTTAAGAGGGACTATTGTATTGTTAGTTTAAGTAGTTAAAACATCGGTCCTGTATAAGTAATGTAAGTCCTGATATGTCATTATTTTTGTTTGTTTTTAAAGAAGGAAAGGTGTTACGATAATGCTCTAACGCCCTCTTGTGGTAAGACCTTCGGGGTGATTGACCGGGCTGGGGAGGTCACGTTGTTGCTAACCGTATGCCGAGTGTGGACGAGCATGGAATAAGGCAGTAGCTCATGTATCCTTAAATTGCCTCTTAAAGCTGAAACCCCTTTATTAAGCTGCAACACCATTACCCATAACAAATATCTAACAAGAAGATAACACCAAGAAGAGAATGGTAATCAGTATACTCAATTACATCCAAAATTAGCCCGATATTATCATCAATATGTCTACCCTTTAGAAAACCAGATTGAGTGAATAAGGTCATTGAGATAATGCTTTAAATGATCAGCGATTGTCTTAGCAATCAGTTTATAATCAACTGTGAGTAACGAAATTGGTCTAAAGTTTTTTATTCTAAGACAGTCACAGTCTTTCTTTGAAAGTAAAGTAACAATACTGGTTCTTTGAGACTGAGACATACACTCATTTTCAAGGGAAAAATTAAAGTTCATTAACAAATCACTGATATCTTGCCAAAGACAATATAGAATTCAACAGGTAGACCAATTCCAGGAGATTTGTTACGTTTCATTGAAATTAGATTACGGTACAATTCATTTTTAGTGACAGGTTTCTCCAGACAAGCTTGATTGTTAGTGGAAGGTTTACGAATGTCCGAGTTATTAAAGAGGAGATCAAGATTGGTTTGTGCACAATGATTACTGTTAGAATAGAGTTGTTTATATTAGGTGTAGATGTCATCAAGAATTGCATTCTTATCGGAAATAATATCATTCTTGTCATCATACAACCTGTGGATAATTTTCCGTTCACAAGAGCGCTTTTCCAAATTACAAAAGTGTTTGGAGCTCTTTTCCCCATGTTCAGCCCATTTTACTCTAGAAAGAATGATGACTCCATTAGCTTCAAAATCAAGAATCTTATTCAGTTTTGATTCAAGGGATTTAAGTTCTTCCCAAAGCAAAGAGCAGTCATCATATTCATGTAATTCATGACTGAGTTTAGCCTTATCATTATCAATTTGTTTTAATATATGGTCTTTTTCAACTGCTCTCTCACATTCTATACAGTGTCCAGAAATAGTACATTTGAATGTGTCCCAAAGCACTTGTGCATTACAAGAGGCGTTGTTATGAACGAACTTGAAATCATCGATTTTGCCTTTAATGAAGGTGATAAAATCACTATCATATTGTAAATAATGACATTTTAATTTCCAGTATCCTTGGCCTCTTGGCACAGGATTAGTCTTAACCATTTCCTGACGGGTGACCCGTTTTTGAGCGTGTAGGCTTTATACACGAAGCCGGGGAGCCCAAAACCAGACAAAAGAGTTGGGCTTTGTAACAAAAGACCATGCTCGACACAAAAGACCTGGCTGCTGGGAATTACCGACATTTTTCACTCTAAATAGTGGAGATAATCCAGCTTTGTTTTGAAACAGTATACCATGGTTTGGGGCATTTAGAGTGAGTGGATTACCACTGGGGACAAAAGCTCTCCAGCACTGCAGGATGAGCCACACAGCACTGCTGCACGCTTGAAAGAGGTCAGCAGTGCACTGTCCCCGGTTTCAGGAACAAAAGAATCTTAAATAACACCGCATAATCTGGGCTCTTTTTACAAGACTGCAGGCCTGGCTGAAATACTCGGGTGTCATTGAAGGTCAAGTGTCGATTTAGAGTATAGTGCCTAAAGATTACTGCCTGTGGGTATAAACGTCCGTTAAATGAAATGATGAATGATGAAGTATCATTAACATTTATAATTAGCCCGGCGCGAAGTGGTTAAAGGAGAGAGAAACTATTGAATGGTCAGAGGAGACACCAGGGATGATTTTAGAGCTCTCACAATTAGCCAAAAGATTTTCAGAAATCAAAATATAGTCAATCTGGACAAAGCTTTAGGATTTTGTTGATGACGAGTATATTGCCTCAATTTAGGATGATAAAATCTCCAAATTTCCAACAGACTGAATTCATCTGATAATAAATTCAGCATATCGCATAATTTAGAGTTGAAATGGTGGGAGCAGGAGCCTTGATAGTCAAGAGGACCCATAACAGTATTGAAATCTCCACCAATAATCAGTGAAGTACAATCAAAGTAATCAATTTTGGAAAACAGCACAAGGAAAACTCAGGGTCATCGGTATTTGGAGCACACAAGTTAACAGAGTTCCCATCTATTGAGAGAGAAAGGATTAAAAATCGACCATCTGGATCACAATAATGTCTATTTACATGAAATGAGACAGAGTTTCTAATCAATATAGCAACACCTTGACTATTAGAGGAGTAGTTACAAAACCAAGCATGTTCTCCCCATTGAGTTTTCCATAAATGATCATCATTCTTAATACAATGAGTCTCCTGTAAAAGAAGAATATCACTACCTATCTTCTTCAGAAATCCAAAAATATTTTTTCCTTTAAAGAAGTCTCATAACCCCTACAGTTAAAAGAGCAAAGTTTAAGAGTAGTCAATGTATATCAAATAAAAACAACCTTCAGGTGAGCATGTACTCGATGACCAAATTATAAGCATATTCAAAAGCAGACAAAAGGAAATCTTCATGGCTAACAACAAAAAGAAGAAAACGAGAAATCATTAAATTGAAATAAAAAAAAATCACAACTATGAAAATAAGTGTGATTAGTGCAAAGGATACAAAAAGAGCGGCAGTTTTCCTAAGGTGGAGACCAGGATCTCAAATCACTTCCAATTCTGATCATTCAGGAAAGCAAGCTGCCGAAAAGAGATCTATTAAGCATGTTTAATAGAAAGCAACAATACAAAACCTGTAAAGCTTGAAAAACGGGTGGCCAAACAAAAATACGCTTCATTTGCAGCAAGTCACTTAACCGTGATAAGCTGACCTGAACCATCACAGAACTTCAAGGAAGCTGGGTATGCAAAAGACGGTTTCTTGCCTTCTGCACGAAGTCATTTGTATGTCTCAAGTTGGACTTTCCGTCCAGTTAAAACCTGTTTTGCCAAGTCCTCAGCCACAAAGATCCTGACGCCCTTAAAATATCTTACCTGACTGCTGGTCTGTCTTTGAAGAATGCTTGTCTTGTGGTTGAATGGACTTTAATCCTGAGAGGGTACCCATATTCATTAAGCACAAAGCACAGCGAGGCAATGGCTTTCTACACTTGTAGCATGTTGATGCCTGCAAATCAAAAATAAAAAGGGGGCACCTAAATTGCAGATTTAGGGCATAAATACAATTATTTGGAGCCAAGCTACCCTATCATCTCCAGTCATGTCACAAGGAAGAGAGAGAAGTTTTCAACATCGCTTCTGAGACCAACCCTGGTATCTGTTAGAAACTTAAATAAGTCTGTAATATTGTTTATGGGGTGTGCTCATCATTGGACATAGGCTAAATAGCGAGGTATCTCTCTATGCACATTGGACCATGCATATTTTTAGCTTTTATGTGCGATGTGCATACCAATTAGTGGTCACACCTGTGCCCTTTGAAACGAATCCCTCTTCCACAGACTGATGGTACCAGTACGAGGGCTTGTGTGGGTGGACGAGTTGCTCACAAGAGTGATTTGTTAAACCTCCTCCTGTTGATGTGTTATTCCAGTTAAACCAGGTTGTTAGTCCAACGACAAGAGATGATGTGGCTATGGTAGTCAAGAATGATAGGTTGATCGTTGAATTAGCCAAGCCGGAAGACATGCAACTCGGGCATGATGTAGATTATGGCTACATCCACAACAGGATACATGAATTGGGTCATCTCGTCATACAACTCCGAACACCCATCAACCAAATGTATTACTTGAATCATTTGTGCATCTCCACCACCTTGTTGATATTGTCAAGACAATCAATGATATTACTGGCTTCCAGTTGTATGTTCCATCACTTGCACTAAAGATTGTTTTCTATCAAGAAGTGTGCACTGGTAAAGAAAGGAATTGCCCTCGAGTCTGGCCAAACACACAAAGTGGAACGTGTGGAAGAGTTTCTGCATTCGTGCGAACTGAACTGGCAACTAGACCTTGTGTCCACATGTGCACAGAACACTGTACCAAGAAAAGCATAACAAAGTCACCATCCTCCCGTCATTCCTTCAGGAAACTGGTAACTGGGAAGTAAACTCTTCCAGAGTGCACAGGGCAAACAAATCAGACAGCCTTGGCAGAGATTGAATGAAGTCGCACTGTGCCGCCTCATCATGTTCAACCGAGGAAGGCAGGGGGAGATTTCCACAAGCACAGCATAGCTGAACTAGAGGGGGAATGCCTGTTGACTGATTTAGAATGCCATATGTGCTAGGGTTGAGCCGATTATTCAAAAAAACTATTTGACTGATTATTGAATATTCAATTATTGTTTTTCGAATAACCAAATGCAAAATTCATGAAAAAGACTGGAGTATTTCCTTTTTTTACGAAAAAAATCTCCCTATGGAGGCTTGTTTCAAGTAGATTCCAAACCCCTGAAGGCAGCTGATATGCCCCCCAGTCAAAACACAATATAAAAATCCATCCTAGAATCCATCCTATCTTGTGCCAAGATAGTTTTCTTTGTTTATGATGTATTGATGCAAACGTTTTTGCAATACATTGTAAAATATGATGAGACCTTCATGACAATATTTCAACTTAAAATTGTATGACTGGCGGTCAAGAAGATAGCTGCATCAGACTAAATTGTAAGTAGTCTCTATCTCAGCGATCACAAAATGTGGTGTCACAGACATTTTTATTGCAACAATTTACAGAAATGCCACAGGGTCTACTAAAAAAGAGGAACTTTTTAACTGTGGCAATTAACATTTAAGCACACCACCAAGCCTAGTGAGAAGAGTGCATAACTACCAGAGTTCTCTTGCTACCATATCCAGTTCCACTTATTTTCACCTTTGCAGTACTTGGCACACATGATACTGCTGGATCTCCGGTCATTTTGATGATCAGTAAGGCATTCACGCGCAGGCAGCACATGTCGCATCAGTATAAAGCATTCAGGTGCAGCTAGGCAGCACATGTCACATCAGTAA